CAAACACAAAGTCTCGATGTTCTCTACTATGTGACTAACCAAGAGAGATCTCTCTCTTAAGCACAACATGATGAATTCACTGCCGTAGCCGCTTGCCCACTCGGGAGAACCATTCCTGTTGGGTTTTCTGTTGGCTGTACACGTGGTAGCCTTTTTGCTGTAGGGGGTTTGAGCAAGAAAAAGTGAGAGGAGTTTAGTCGAAAACCGAGAGTTTATTTGATATTTCTTTCTTGAATGTAAGAATGACTCACCAATTTCGTAAAAGATGTCCTTGACATTTGTTGCGGTCTTCGCTGAGGTTTCCATGAAGAAAAGGCTGTTCTCTTGAGCATATGTCTCTGCCTCCTGCAAATGAGAAATAGTGTGACTATCAAGAACTAGTTAACAAAAAAAAAAAACGGAGTCCGTAGGGATTGTAAGAGAAGATTTCACAGTCACCAGTTGCATTTTCTCCTCGTACTTTGAATTTCATCTTAAATGTTTTGGCAGAAACAGAGCAAAATCAGACAGAACAGCAGAAGGAAGATTTTATTTACCTCTGCAGACACCTTCCTTGCATCTAATAAATCAGCTTTGTTTCCGGCAAGGGCCATGACCATATTAGGGTTACCTATTCACAAGATAACAAATACGAAAAAAGAACATATAATCAAATCTCCATGATAGCAGATAACCCTCACAAACTATATTAGAAACTAGCAACAAATCATCTAAACAAGAGTCAGTTATTCTTTACCTTGTGCCTGCAATTCCTGAACCCATTTCTTCGCCCTCTCAAATGACGCCTGTGACAATAGAAAAACAAAGTCAAGCAAACCTAACTTTGCAGAAAGCCCACCAAAAATCAGTAAGTTAACTCATGAGTTTGTACTTGGTTTGTAATGTCAAAGACAATAATTGCAGCAGCTGCACCCCTGTAGTACATTGGAGCCAAGCTATGGTATCGTTCCTGACCGGCTGTATCCCATATCTCAAACTTCACAGTTGCATCATTCACAGCCAATGTCTGCGAGAAAAAAGCCGCACCTATAGTTGATTCCTGTTAACACAAACCGAATATCAAAAGTCAAGAATCAACCACAGATATGCAATCAAAATCTCTGT